ATATATATATATACGCACAATCACACTGTATATGCTATCTAAAAATGATCAAATATCAGAAAACATTCACTCAAAAGACCCATTGCATTTATTAAAACTACATTTACATAAATATATTGTAATTACATATCAACAATACATTTATACATGAGATATTTATTTTCATACACATTAGCAACCCACTAGCAATGCCCTAGCAACCACTCACAACATCATAGCACTGTGATGATGCCTTCTACATGGACAAACAACACACTTCAGAAAATGCTAATATACTACACTAATCTTGTGTACTGGGTGATTGTGAATAGGAAAGAGCATCACTCAAACTACAGCCACAGAGAAAAGAACAATTCAGCAATTCAGTCCAGCAATCCACAGCACTGCACATTTTACAAGTTTTTTATTCGGTTGAGTTCATGCAGCTCTTTGTTAACAAGCTGATGATCAGGATCGGGTGTGTAAATAAGGAAGACGTAGAAAATGCACAGAGCGGTGGGTTTGAGATCTGCTGGAGTAGGCTACAGCAGCATATAGCTGGAGTAAATGAGACACAATCTGATCCAGGAGGCAGAAATTCCCACAGACACTTTTCCTGTGATTAGGAAGCGCAGAAATCACGCACCCTAAACATTTGTGCTGGTCTGGCAGTGCCGCTGTTGTTTTGCAGACATACAGACGCGCTGGAGTGTGGTGTGGAAGTCCAGCTGCTGGTCCTGCCTGCGTTTTACCTCATGCTTCCTGCTTTACTGCGCTAACACAGTTTACAACTGAACTTGTGCACAAAATCACACACTAAACCAGTATGCACTTATACAAGTGTATGAGTTTTATAAGGTTATTTTGCCATTCAGTATAAGAATCTCCACTACACAACAAGTAATGTGTGGTAACACTTTAGTATAGGGACCAATTCTCACTATTAACTAGTTGCTTATTAGTATGCATATTATTAACAAACTGGCTTTTTATTAGTACTTATAAATCACATATTCTGCATGACCATATTCTACATCCCTAATCCTACCCAATATCTAAATTTAACAACTACCTTACTAACTACTAATAAGAAGCTAATTAGGTGTTTATTGAGGCAAAAGTCGTAGTTAATGGTTTGTTAATGGTGAGAATTGTACCTTAAAATAAAGTGTGACAGTAAAGCTGCGAGTTGAGGTGCACATTAAGACTTAAACAGGCCTGTCAATTTTAACCCCAAGCTACTGTATCATAGTTGATGAATTTCTAAGGCCTGCAAATGATCAACATAATCAAAACATTTCTGTCACACAATCTACTCCATTCCTTCTGTCATCTGATTGATAATTTAGACTTTTTTATCAAATAAAAGGTCTTTTAGTATAATTGTACAAACGTACATCATCTCATATGCTTCAAATCTTTATTGATTTTTTATAAAATAAACATAAGAATAACTTTTATTAATATTTCCAGATGAACACTTACTGAACTGAAGCAGCTTGGCTTTACTTGATTATCCAGAGATATTTTTTAGAAAAATTAGTGAGTCTCAAATCTGATCATCAGACTTTTGAGGAATGTTTGTTTCCAGAAGCTTTACTTTCACTGTTCCTCAGTGAAGGAATTATCTTTATTTTGTACCCTGTAGCTGGTGAGTCATTCAGGACTGGATTGAGAATACTTTTTAAATTGGCAAACAGGATAGAAAATTTCAATTATAATTAGAATTGAATGAAGTAGAATTAAAATGAAATGACATGGAAGACATACCTGATGTAATGTAGTTTTAATGAATATTATTTCTTTTCTTTTTTTAGTGTTGCGGCAATCTTCCATTTCAATGAAGGTATGAGACAACAATCTTTTGAATATTTATTTTCTCGCAAGAAAAGGTCTACAGTCATAACACTCATTTATGCTGCCTGCAGAGTGCTACAAACAGGAAAATACGTTGACTTAGTATTTATACCCCAATTAAATCAGGATGCTTCTATCTCATCCAATCATAATGCATATTCAAAAAATGTGCCCATTTAAGGTATACAACTATGTCCCCTAGATGCGTTTTCTAAGTACTTATGGCAAAATAATTTCTAAGAAGCTAGGATGATCTAAGAGACTAAAATAACACTTTTGGTCTTACACTTGTCTGCACACACACACAGTGACATTTCATGTTGGTCTTTTAGCACATCAAAATAACTCAAGCATATAATAAAGCATTTAGACAGTTTAAACAACACTCTTAATAAAATTTCCCTCACATTCAGTATGAATTGTTACCATGTTATCATGCACATAACATAAATTATATTATTATTATTATTATTTTAAATAAAGAAGTTTTTTTTTTTTTTTTAGTTTGAGTTTGAGTTTAGTTAACCCTGATGTGTCATGGCCAAGACTTCATGAGGTGCAGCAGGGTAAAGACGAGCCGAAGTGAATCCCAGCACAAGTGACCCAGTGAACACAGAGATCTCACAGCACATTGACTGCTGCCGGCACTTCAGTGAGGTTTGAGAGAAACTTTCTGCAGAAATCTCTATCACGCTCCACTGCAATGAGTGTATCGACAAGACCATGAGAGGAGGGCAGCCATGAATGTTTCATGGAGGAATAAACAGAGTAACATGTGTTTGGTGTCTGTACCATCGACATCTGACTCTACAAGACTGAGCCTCTGTCCACTGTAGGGCTGTCAAAAAAAATTAGAATTTTGAATATTCGTCGAATTTTAAATATAAATCCACATTCGAATACAATAACGTTGCATTCTAATTTTAGGTGTGCATCAGGCTGCCTTATCAGTGGCACACGAGATGCGATGATGATGTAGGTGTCATTGCATTTTAATGTTTTTGTTAGCCTATCCAGTTGAACCCACTAGATGTGGCGCTGCTACGTTTTTCATTCAAAATATTGCGGAAAAAGAGAAAATCAATGTGGAGAAGATGTTGTTTGCATCAAAACTGAAACCAAGCCGTTCACACAGAACGCATATTTATCGCATTTTCTATAGGGACATCTATCACCATTGCACTCGCGTCTCGCACAAAAGAGCGGCATGTTTAGAAAGCCATGTAAATTAATGTAAGTTCAACTTTTAAATAACAAGTCTCGAGACTTTATGGCAGTTTTTCCCCATCCCACTGCATCTTCATTTTAAATGAAAAAAGTACTATTTGTGATTGGTTTTCGGTCCTTTGTATTAACTATACTTACATACATACAAGATGTTATTTTGTTTCTAATTGTTTAAGCAACTTAATTAATTATATATATAGTTTATAAACATTATTTTAAACATTATGCACTTTTTTCAAAGATAGTCCTGTTATTTTATTGTTTTGAAGAAACGTGCATTTGTAATATTTTGCTCGATGCGCCCTCTTGTGGCCTCAAGAGAGAAGCTAAAAGCTTTTTTTCTCCCTAACTGAAATTATGCCTTTTAAATTCTAATATAATTCGAATATTGATAATATTTAAGTACAAAATTCGAATTTAGTTTTTCAGCCATTTTGACAGCCCTAGTCCACTGTGAACTTTAATTACTCCTTAAAGGAATAGTTCACCCAAAAATGAAAATGTGCTGAAAATGTGGAGAAAATATTGGAGAAATATATCATTCTATCACTTGCTCACTAATGGATCCTCTGCAGTGAATGGGTGCAGTCAGAATGAGAGTCCAAACAGCTGTTAAAAACATCACAATAATCGACAAGTAATCCACACTCCTAACTTCAAACCATTGCTAAAATTCAAGTCCATTAAACATAATAACGCTTCCTCCA